ATGCCAATCTGTGAAGAGTTTGGATCTTACTCCCCGAGTGTATCATGGACTCTTCCTTCCGGAGAACAAGTATCAGCCTATTCTGTTTTCTCAAATGCATTCACTCTTCTTTTAAAGCTTTGGAGATTCAATCATCCTCCTATTGAGCATGGTGTAGGAGATGTTCCCACAGTTGGTTCCCAACTCACTCCTGAACATCTTCTTTCAGTGCGTAATTCTTATCTTGTTTCGTCGGAGACCCTTGATAGAGACCGAAACAGAAAGAGACTTTCAGAAGTTGCAAGGGCAGCATCTTGCCAGCCCGTGTTTGTTGACTCGTTCCCCAAGCTAAAAATCTGGTATAGGCAGCACCAAAGATGCATAGCTGCCACATTATCTGGACTTACACATGGATCTCCCATTCATCAGACAGTTGAAGCACTTCTCAACATGACGTTCGGAAAGGTCAGAGGCAGTCAGACTTTAAATCCAGTAAATTCGGGCACAAGCAGTTCATCAGGAGCTGCAAGTGAAGATAGCAATACAAGACCTGCGTTTCCTGCTTGGGATATCCTCAAAGCCGTTCCATATGTTGTAGATGCTGCTTTAACTGCTTGTACTCATGGAAGGCTTTCGCCTCGTCAGTTAGCTACAGGTTTGTTTTGTTTTATTGGATCAGATTGCGTAAATATGTCACCAGAGAGAGGTAGAGAGAGAAAGGAGTCCTAATTGTGTTGTCATGTGCAATAATATCTGTCTATATGACCTTTGGAAACTCTGAATGCCAATGAGAGATGTTTTGACTGTGTTGATCAGTGTTATGTCATATGCTTTTCTTACAGTAAAGTGAAATGGATTACGTGATAACAAGTGTTTTTCTTTCAGGGCTGAAAGACTTAGCAGATTTTCTCCCGGCATCATTAGCAACGATAGTAAGCTATTTCTCAGCTGAGGTGAGTAGAGGTGTTTGGAAGCCAGTATTCATGAACGGCGTGGATTGGCCAAGTCCAGCTACAAATCTATCCACTGTTGAGGAATATATAACGAAAATTCTTGCAACAACAGGCGTCGATATCCCTAGCCTTGCTCCAGGTAAAACTATTCTACGTGTTTAGATGCCGAGTCTGTTTGTTTGGCTTAAATCTCTGTACAATCCTCCCTTTATAATAAGCTTTTACCTGTCCTGAGTTGATGTGTTAAACTTGTCTTTTGATCTTATGGTTGACTTTTTGCAGGAGGGAGTTCACCGGCAACACTTCCTTTACCTTTAGCCGCCTTTGTAAGTCTAACCATTACTTACAAAATTGACAAAGCCTCAGAGCGGTTTCTCAACCTGGCTGGCCCAGCTCTTGAGTGCTTGGCTGCAGGCTGCCCTTGGCCTTGCATGCCCATTGTAGCTTCATTATGGACCCAAAAGGCGAAACGTTGGTTTGACTTCCTTGTTTTCTCTGCCTCTCGCACCGTCTTCCTTCACAACCAAGACGCTGTGATTCAGCTCCTCAGAAACTGCTTCAGTGCCACTCTCGGTTTGAATGCTGCCCCCATGTCAAATGATGGTGGCGTTGGAGCTCTTCTTGGCCATGGATTTGGCTCTCATTTCTATGGCGGGATCTCTCCTGTAGCACCAGGGATTCTTTATCTCCGTATGTATCGTGCTCTCAGAGATACTGTCTCTGTATCGGAAGAGATTCTCTCTCTGCTGATACATTCGGTGGAGGATATAGCCCAGAACAGGCTCTCAAAGGAGAAGCTGGAAAGGCTGAAGACAGTGAAGAACGGAACAAGATACGGCCAAAGTTCTCTAGCAACAGCAATGACTCAAGTCAAGCTTGCTGCTTCGCTTAGTGCCTCGTTGGTATGGCTAACCGGTGGCTTAGGTGTGGTCCACCTACTCATCAAAGAAACCATCCCGTCTTGGTTTCTATCAACTGACAAATCAGACCGAGAACAAAGACCATCAGATCTAGTTGCAGAGCTAAGAGGTCATGCCCTTGCCTACTTTGTAGTCCTATGTGGAGCATTTGCTTGGGGGGTGGACTCAAGATCAACTGCATCAAAACGCCGCCGCCAAGCAATCTTGGGAAGCCACTTGCAGTTCATCGCGAGTGTCTTAGACGGGAAAATATCAGTGGGATGCGAAACAGCAACTTGGCGGGCATATATTTCCGGTTTGGTGAGTCTAATGGTGAGCTGTTTGCCTCTCTGGGTGACAGAGATCGATACAGAAGTGTTAAAGAGTGTAAGCAGTGGACTAAGAAAATGGGGAAAAGAAGAGCTAGCGATTGTATTACTCTCCTTGGGAGGTCTCAGAACAATGGACTACGCAGCTGATTTCATCATTCATTTGCGTTCATAGCTTCTTAAAAAGTTTTGATCTCTCCAGTTTTTTTCAGATAGATGCTTGATAGATGTGTTTCTTGTAGTGAATTTGCTTCCTTGTTGTGACTTGTGTTCTCTAGCTCCAGTGTTGTGTGATAAATCTATCACGCTATATGTATGTATAGAGAGAACCAGAAGAAAAGAAAAAATAAAAAAAAAAGACTAATCTTAAAAAGAAACTATTAGTGTACTATTTGTAACCGTTAGATGGATTGGTGTACTATTTTTATAACCGTTAGATGATTCGAGAATATTCTCAATTTATTTAATTGGTCACACAACAAATAAAAAGCAAACGAATGATTGAGTTTGGTTTGGTTTGGTTTCTTTGTCTCATCTCTCTGTTTTTCTGAAGAACTAACACATGTCGGGACCTCAGTGCTGCGAAAACCCGCCGACTCTGAACCCGGTTTCCGGGTCGGGTCATGTCGAGAAGCTGGGTGGGCTTGATGCCTACGTCTCCGGCTCTCCCGATTCCAAGCTCTGCGTCCTCCTCATTTCTGATGTATTCGGTAATATACTCTTCTTCTTCGTTGCTCTGATTTGACTTTCTTTGTTTTAGTTGAACACATGATCGGAGTAATTAGGGTTTTTGGATCCCTTTTGTTGATCTCATCATTGTTGATTCTGACTTTTTGGTACGTTTTTGTTCTTCAGGTTATGAAGCTCCAAACTTGAGGTACTCCTACTAATTCTCCCCTCTTCATCGATTCAACCATTGAAGATTGAATCTTTTTAATTTGGGTTTGTTGCTTTGAAGGAATTAGATAGTTTTTTAGTGGTCACATATGAGTTTTAGTCTCAATGCTGCAATAGTTGTTTCTGGTCTAGTTAGATATGTGTCTACAAATAGTTTTGTTGGTTTTGGATTATGTACAAGATACTTCTTACTTAATATGAGGAAGGGGTTAAATCACTAGCAATAGGGCGCGTTGCATCTCCTGGATGAAGCATACCTATCGTGTGTCTTTAAGTTGACTTATTTTTTCTGATCTCATTTGATAAGATCTAGATGTTTGATTTGAATCATTGCTTTAATTTTATGTCTTAAGGGCGCTTGCGGATAAGGTTGCAGCTTCTGGATTCTATGTTGTGGTTCCTGATTACTTTGGTGGAGATCCTTTTGATCCCTCTAACCAGGACAGACCCATCGCTGTCTGGATCAAAGACCATGGCTGGGTTCGTTCCTTCTCCTCTCCTCCTTATCATAATTGTCCTATGCATTCTCAATTTCTTTTCCAGTTTTGTTAACAAGAACACATACACTGAGTTGATAGAATCCATCTGAATCAGTTCATATTCTCTTTTGTTTTTCAGGATAAGGGCTTCGACAACACCAAACCAGTACTTGAAGCTATAAAGAACAAAGGCATAACTGCCATTGGAGCTGCAGGGATGTGTTGGGGTGGTGAGTTGTTGTTAGAAATCTAGCCTAAGATTTGTTAGTAAAAGATCTGGAAAATGTCTAATGGATATTACTTTTCTCTCTTGTGTTATTAATCTTCAGCTAAGGTAGTGGTGGAACTGTCTAAAGAAGAACTTATTCAAGCAGCTGTTTTGCTTCATCCTTCTTTTGTCACAGTTGATGATATCAAGGGTAAGTGACTTTGGTACTACCATCTTGATTGCACACATAAAACCAAGAAACACTAGTTGTCACGCCTCACCTCTAATGCTTTGTAACATTTACAGTCACCTATAAGATTGCGTAACTGATCTCGCCAAGATTAGATACCATCATTGTGGCTATCATTGTTACAGTAAAGAATACTAATTCACATTTACATACATAAAAGCACTGTGATTGGTCCGGTTGCTCTCATTTCACCGGTTTTTGATGATCCTTATCAATTTCACGGGTTTTCTGCAGCTGGGAAGGCTCCAATTGCTATATTAGGAGCTGAGATTGATCAAATGTCCCCACCAGCACTTTTGAAGCAATTTGAGGAGATTCTAGCTTCCAAACCCGAGGTAAGCTGCTTCTACACCGCAACTCAATAGGCTAATCGCCTTTATCTAACTTTAAACGGATTCTGTAGGTGAATAGTTACGTGAAGATATACCTGAAAGTGTCACACGGTTGGACAGTTAGATACAGCATCGATGATCCAGAGGCGGTTAAAGCTGCAGAAGAAGCTCACAAAGAGATGCTTGATTGGTTTGCGACATACGTCAAATGATTTGAGAAAGAAAAGCTTTGTATTATTATTCATAACTTCATATATGCAAAGAATAAAAATGAAAGAGAGACAAAGCAAAACTCTTGGTTTGTATTTCAGTTTCTACGTTTGAAGCATTCTGTGAGATTCTGTGATAATCATCGTTTTATGATTTTTATATGTTGGCAAAACTTTGTGCCCTTCTCATCATCTTTATTTGGTTAGCAGAAAAGTTACCAAAACATTACTTTGATCGAAATCAACGTCTTCTTCTATTGAAAAATTGAAAAAGAAATAATTATTAATTCTTGATTCCTGCATTGTTGTTGGTAATTTAAAACTCAAAAATTATGCATTCGTTCAAATTATATAAAAAATTGATTCATATATGATTTAAAATATTGCTTAAAAAACTTTCAAAAACAGAAAGATTCACTCACTAGGATCTTTAAAGAAATAAAGCACAATTCATAATCAATATAGATTTCTCCATAATTAAATTTGTGTTACAATCAATAAAAAAAATTATGTAAAAAAAAAAAAAAACTGCCAAATATCTCCAAAATCGAATTTGTTAAAAAATAATAAAATATAATAAACTAATAAATCTATTTTTCTAATTTCAAGGAGAAGGAAACAAACCTTCATAAACTCCTCCTCTACCGTCTCTCTATAAATAAACGAGAAGTTCACAAAATCCACTCTAATAACTATGAAAAAATTAGGGTTTTAAATTTCCTAAATCTCTCCGTAACCATCGATCAAAACGATGCTCGAGTGTGAATCAATGATGGAGAAATTATCACCGTTCATGGACATCGCCTCTTTGGAAATCGAGTCTCTACGAAGAATCAAACGCCCGAAACGCTTCTCTGAAGAATCAGAAACCGAGACGATGACTTCATCAAACGCGGTTTTCGGATTCCCTCACTTACCAGAAGAACCAAATCGCGATTTGGATCAAAGCGTTTTGTGTAGAATCCGCGTTCGATTACCAGATGGGAGAAGAATACAGAGGAGTTTCTTAAAGAGTGAATCTGTTCAGCTTCTTTGGTCGTTTTGTTATTCGCAGATTGATGAATCTGAGAGAAAGCGTTTTAAATTGATTCAAGCGTTTCCTGGGGAATATAAGAATCTTTATTTTGGATCTAATACGACTTTTGAAGAATCTGGGCTTGCGAATTCTTTGGTTTCGGTTACTTGGGTCTGAAGAAGGTCTTTGTTTTTTTTTTGGATTTGTGTAATTAGAAAAAAAAAAATTGTAGCGATTTCTGCTTTTGTTTATGTTTACTCAATTTCTTGAATTTGTAGTTGGAAAATTGCAAATTTTTATGAGAAAGATTGGTTTCTTGATTAGTTTCTTGAATCGTTGTTAGATATTTCCGATCAAATCGCTTTTAGATAACACTGCTTTAAAGTCAAGGTTATACAAGAGGACGTATAGTTTTGGTTATCTTGTTGCTTCTTAAGTCACGTTTCCACATGAATCTGCTACTAAATTTTGAGGTGATATAGCAAATCGAGCCCATAAGCCCAAATTCTAAACAAGCGTAAGACAACATCAAGTGAGCAAGTAGTACTCCATGTTCTTGCATATTTTTGACAGTGGGCAAGAAATCCGTAGCCGAATAAACCAAACCGTACCAAATTGGAATAGTTAAAATGAAACCGAGAAACTCGCCGATACCCAAAACCGGGTCTATAGAAAGCCATTCAACTAATACTAGCTCTAGACCCGGTTTTGGGTAAAAGCAACCCATGTATACGGCCTTGAATATAGACTGATTAGTGGAGTTGGTCATTTGTCTTCATTTTACCATTTTTTTTTCTTTTTAAATCACTAATTACTAAACCCTCTAAAAAATTTTGTAGCCCATAAGTTTTCTGGACCGGCTCTAAGTAGACAGTCCATAGAACTTTTGCTATGGCTACAACCGAGCTGACATGTATATCATTCAATCTACATAACCTTGGTATAGGTCAAGAGAAACAATAAATTCTTCTTTACGACAATTTGTCAACAATACACCTAACTACAAATCCAATGCTCTACCATTATCTAAACACATTGAAGTAGATTACCACTACGTCATATAACAAACACTTCTTAACAACAACAACATTTTAGTCCAAGTACGTATTTTTTTTTACTAATATATAGATGGCCTGATAGCAAACCAAGCCCACAAGCCCAAATTCCAAACATGCCCATGACAACATTCATGTATGCAGAACTAAGATAATAAATTTCCCTGTTAGAAAGGAAATATTACGATTTGGCCCTCCTTTGAACAAATCTTCCCTCTCCGGATTTTTAACCCAAAAAAACTGGAGAACCATGCAGTTGCGATTTCCTCTTTAACCCATTTCAAAGATTCGTTTTTTTTTTTTTTGTAAATTTCTTTCTCTTCTTTTGGCGAATTCGTGTTCCTTCTTTCTCAATGTAAGCGAATCCATCTTTTGATTCATTGTTCCATTGTTGTAATCGTAATTCTTGATTCGCCATTGTTCGTTTTTAAGATCATTCATCACAATTTTTAAATTCGATTCTTCCGGTTCCATTATTTCGGAACCCAATTCGGGTGACCTAGATTTTGATTTTGATTCTTGCTATGATCATGATCTTGATATATAAAGTCTATTTTTTTTTTTTTGTTTCTGATTTGGTGAATCAGGAGTTCTAGAGACAGAGGATCACCTTCTTCTTCTTCGTCGTCTTCTTCGTTACCAGGAATAGATAAGTATAACGAAAAGGTGAAAAATCAGATACAAGCACTTGTTCGTGTTATTAAAGTTGCTCGTACCTATAGAGACGACAATGTCCCTTCCTTTATTGAACAGGTTACTACTTACTACTACTCATAGTTTTCTTGTTTCTTCTCTGGAACTACCAACCAATGATTGATTCGTTATCAAAGATCAAAGCTTTTCTTGAATTTGACTTTCAGGGTCTTTATCTTGGATCTGTTGCTGCAGCTTGTAACAAGAATGTTTTGAAATCTTACAATGTTACACATATCTTGACTGTTGCTAGTTCTTTGAGACCAGCTCATCCTGATGACTTTGTTTACAAGGTTGTTCGAGGTATAAACATATTAAAGGTTTTACCTTTTTTATACTTTTTTTGTGCCTTTTTGTGATGGAATGGCTTACCTGCTTGTTTGTTTGTGTAATAGTTGTGGATAAGGAAGACACAAATTTGGAAATGTACTTTGATGAGTGTGTTGATTTCATTGATGAAGCCAAGAGACAAGGCGGTAGTGTTCTTGTTCATTGCTTTGTTGGCAAATCACGGAGGTCGGTTTTTGTGTTGATGCTGGATAGGATTCAATACTAAGTACATATGTCAAAGTGATTTGGTAACCCAATTTAGCCTGTGTTTTGCCCCTTTTACTTGCAGTGTCACTATAGTTGTTGCTTACCTCATGAAGAAACATGGAATGACCTTATCCCAAGCATTGCAACATGTAAAGAGCAAAAGACCTGTGGCAAGTCCTAATGCCGGTTTCATCAGACAATTACAAGACCTCGAGAAGTCTATGCAAGGTATGTATTGTCAACTCATATGCAAACTTACTATAACATCTTGTGGTCTTGACTATTAGGATCTTTCGAGCTCTGTGGTGAATCTGAGTTAGAGATTCTTTACTTTTGTCTGTCTGATTCAATAGTGAGTGACCAGAGTTTTCCCAATTGAGGATGAAAAGCAAGTGGTTGTGGAGGACAAGACGGTTCCATGTAAATTACACTTACCTGCATCTTCTTCTTCTCTCTAAAACAGGGAAGCAAGAACCGATTGCACAATGCCAGGCGTGAAGATCGATCGTATCTTTGGGAGAAACTTGTAAATCTCACAAGAAGCATCAAATGTTTTGTTGTTTCTCCTTAACAACTCAAATAAAAAAACATGGAAACGAATAAGGAATATAAGTTCTTATGTTCATGTTCTTGATTCATTTATGTGTAAAAGTTTCATGAATGTAAAAAGTGAACATAAATAAAAATCTGTTAATTTTTTGTAAAGAAATGTCCTTTTTGCGCCGTCATTGCTTAATTTGAGCCCGTAGAGACTAAACAGTTAATGGACCTTGTGAAACATTGGGTTTTATAATGAATAAAAAAACTAATCGGGGTGATTTAGGATAAAGTTATAAATTTAGGGGCCATATTAGAATTCTCCTAAAGTTGCTTCCAATTGTGAGGCACACTAAAACCCTAGACTCCATATTATGGAAAACCTCTCTTCTTCTTCCTCTCTTCTTTCGGAGCCGTCGCTTGTAAAAATTTCCGGCGATTGATCAGTCATGATGGAAATACGAACTCCGAAGACTGGCAAAGCCAAACGTGTACTCGAAAACCGAGCTCCTAAGTTGGTAAAGTTCTCTTCTTTCTCTGCGTTTGAATCCTTGTTTCGTCCCTCTGAGACCGAGAAGTGTCTTAAATGTTGTTGGTCTGTCTATGAGACTCATGGGTTTTCTATTTCTAGGTGAATTTATGAAAGAATCGCTAGAAAGTTGCAGACTTTGTATCTGAATTGGTGGTTTTAAAATTTCTTCTTAATCTTGGGATTTGTAGGTTGAAACTGGGAAGAAGACATTGATACTTCATGGAACAAAGACGAGTGCTACACTTAGCTCTGTGTTGATGGAACTGTACCGTTTGAAGAAGGGAGGTGCCATTAGATATTCAAGAAGGAATGAGAATATTAGGCCTTTTGAGAGTGGTGGTGAAACTTCATTAGAGTTCTTCTCTCAGAAAACTGATTGTAGCATTTTTGTGGTAAGTTTTTCTTCGATACTCGTGTTGTGGCAAACTGAGATCTCTGTATAGGTTTTGATTTGTTATGTCGATGATTTTGATTATCCTCTTAACTTAACTAGGAATGGCTAGTTTTTCAAGTAATCAGATAGATGCTTGATTGTCTTAGAGCAAGTTGCTAAGATGATGTGTCCTGTGATTATCTTTGGCTTGATTAGTCTTTGTGTTATGGTGGAAATTGGTAGAACTTAAACTTGTTCTATTATTTGCTAATTTAATCACATGTCTAAAGAATTCATTTGGAATTGGATATTAGCAAACTTACTTTGATGTGAGTTCTAACGTTGGTGAATGTTTTTATATTGCAGTATGGTTCTCACACGAAGAAACGACCTGACAATCTTGTACTTGGGAGAATGTATGATCACCAGGTCTATGATCTTATAGAAGTTGGGATTGAGAACTTTAAAACCTTGCTGGCGTTTTCGTATGACAAGAAATTTGCACCTCATGAAGGATCAAAGCCTTTCATTTGCTTTACTGGAGAAGGTTTTGAGAATGTACCAGAGCTTAAGCATCTAAAAGAAGTCCTCACTGATCTGTTTCGTGGCGAGGTGAAGTGTTTGATTCTTTTGACCTACCTTTGCAGCTAATTCCGTAACCAACATCAAGGAATTGAATTTCAGTTTTATGGTTCTTATCCTGATTATTTATGGATTTGGCTTAAAATAGAATTTTATTTGTCTGCAGGTTGTGGATAATCTAAATCTTACTGGACTAGACCGAGCTTACGTATGTTCGGCTATATCCCCAACTAAGGTTTTCCTTACTCATTGCGCATTGAAGCTTAAAAAGTCAGGCTCCATTGTTCCTAGAATGGAGCTTGTTGAAGTCGGTCCATCCATGGACTTGGTTATCAGGCGTAATCGTCTTCCTAACGAAAGCTTAATGAAAGAAGCAATGAGAACATCCAAGGATAAGCCTAAGAAGAAGGTAATAATAAAACATTAAAAATTCTAAGCTTTGTCTCATGTTTCCTTAAAATCAAAAGAAACCGATGATCAATCAATCAATCTCTTTTTCTACAGGTGAAAAACGTTGATCAAGATGCAGTACTAGGGAAGACTGGGAAGATTTACATGCCTGATCAGAAGGTAAGAACGAAAGCAAACACCAATATTCGATTCTGGAGATTGTTATTAATACCCTAAACTAACTGATTGCTTCGATCTTTGTGCAGCTGGGCGATATGAAATTACTCGATAAATCCAAGGGATTGAAGAGAGAGCGGAAAGAGGCTAAGCTTAAGCATAAGGAAGAGACTGTTTCCAAAAAGATGAAAGAGTCTTCTGAGTGACTCACCAAACCACTCTTGGCTCTTCTGCATCAACAGTTTTCAATATGAGGAAGATGAAGATTTTGTAGTGAGAATGGGCATGGCTTTTATTTTTCCATTAGAATCTATAACTGAATGTTTTTTATACGCTAATATTTTATTAAGTTGATTTTGTTTTGTTAAATTTCTGCAGCAAGAAAAAAATTGTGAAAGAAAAAAGAGTTACGAGATGAGATAAAATCAAAAGTGAATTTGCTCTATAACCGATAAATAAATTAAGAATATAGTATATTAATTTGAAAAATTAAGTAACTAACATGAATGAATTGTGAAATGACTAAAATCGAGTTATTGAGGGTACGTGACAAATGAGAAAAATAAAGAATTATCTTTATTTTGTTTTCCTCTATATTTTTAAATATGATAATGTTTACCCCTTAATATTTTTTTGCAACATATTTTCTACAAATAAATGATTTGAAAATTCAAATCTACTTAAAACAAATATATTTATTTTTCTGCATCAAACACAACTTGAATTTCTTAAATCGGATTTGATTTTTTTAAATAATGAATAGTGTTTATCTTTCTACACATAAATGAGATAGTATAGAATCCAATGAAATAGTATAGAACGAAACATTTGTAATAAAATGTAGGTAGTGGTGGTGGTGACGGTAATAACTTGGTGATGATGATGGTAACGGTATGGTGGTGATGGCATAGTTGTGGTAGCGGTGGTGTGATGGCATGGTGGTGGTGATATAGTGGTGGTGATGGTGACGTTGGTGGTGGTTAGGACAACGACGATGGTGGTGGAGGTAGTAGTAGTGGTGGTGGTGACTGTCGTTGGAACTTTTCTCGTAAAGTTTAAATTCTGGAAAGATATTCAAAATTTGATTCTCCCCAAATAAACAGTAATCAAAGCTAATATTTTACAGTTACAAAGAAAATGGGATAGATATTACGTAAAAACAAAAGAAGAGAGACACAAGGGCAAAAGGGTCCAAAGTACAAAAATTACACACAATATCATTGGCTTTTTTTGTTGGTTATTTACTTAATTATAGATTTTTTGTATGTTATTGGTGCAAATTTTCCTAAAATCAACAGCAGTTTTGTTTAGTTTTTTTTTTATCGTGTCACACCATCTTTTACCACAATTTTTCACCGTGTTCTCTAACCGTTGTCGTAAATATACACCGTCCGCTTGTGTCACCAATCAAATTAGATACAATGTACCACAATTTTTGTTTCTTTTCTTTAAAACGAATTTCGCTTTTAAGTAGGTTTGTGCATAGTTATTTATCATTTCCATACGTGAAAGTTTTATGTAATAGAAGGTAAAAAGAATGGTAGATAATGAATACGTCCCCTCCTCACTTTTAGATGAATATTCTTATGTTCTTGTAAAAATTTATTAGGCAGAAAAATTGTTTATTTATTTATAACTATAATAGAGTGGGAGGGTTAGTATAAAAATGTTAAAATGATGATTAATTGGTGTTTATTTTTTTTACCTACCAACTTTTATATGATAATGACTGATACATGTATTAAGTTTAACCTAATTAAGCTTTTTATTCAGTTAGCTGTCTTTATCTTCCACACTAGGCTTATAACTTATCTATAATTGAGACCTACCCCTATGGACTCTTCTTCATCATTATTCTTTATGGTTTTTATTTGCTATACGTTTGAAACCAAACCATAGGTAAAAAGCTTAATTAGGTGAATATTATTTGCCCGGATTAACATTTCTCTATATAATGGGTCTTGCATCTACCGGAAAATTTACCATATAATTTCTCAATTTTTTGCAATTTCGCAAATTTATTCCTTAATTTCCACGTTTGCAACCTCAAGTATTATTAACTACGCAAAATTTAAATGTTGCAAAAATGAAAAAAAAAAAAAAGACCAAATAACATGTGACAAAATAAATATCATTAATTAAACTGTTTAGGACATTGTTATTCTTCAATACGCGTAGAAAAGACAGTCCATTGTGATTACATGTTTTCGACTCAATGCATGTACGTACCGACGGTACCGTTGTACACGATCGGTGATCACTAGGAAACAAATTGGCCCATCTCCGTTGAAGAAAATTAAAATATACACCGATTTGTTCAAATAATTAATTATTTTTACGTGTTGACAAAAACAATTCACGTATGTTCTGTTTTAAAAAATTGTGAAGTCAATGACCAGACACACATATATACACTATATTTTTAAATGAAATATGAAACAGGGACAAGACACAACTGTTTCATGCTGGTCTTAATCTCCTCAAATCCTCAGCAATTGCTAGGCATGGTTTTCCAGTTGCTGCTCTTCCAATCCGTTACCTTGGCCTCCCTCTTATGCACAGAAAACTCAAAATCTGTGAGTATGAACCTCTCCTGGATCAACTTATTGGTAAATTTAGAGGATGGGCAATGAAATCTTTGTCTTATGCGGGTCGTACACAATTGTTGTCTTCGGTTATTTCGGGAACTGTTAACTTCTGGATTTCAGCTTTCATCTTACCAAAAACTTGTATAAAGAAGATCGAGTCTTTATGCTCAAGATTTCTCTGGTCCGGTAAAATTGATGGCAGTAAGGGTGCCAAAGTCGCTTGGTCCACTGTCTGTTTACCTAAGCAAGAAGGCGGTTTGGGGCTACGAAGATTCTCTCAATGGAATACCACTCTCTGCTTGAGATTTATATGGTTATTATTCTCTGAATCTGGTTCTCTGTGGGCTATGTGGCATAAATATCACAACATCAAGAGTAACAGCCTTTGGGAAATCAGTGAATCACCAAGAGATTCTTGGACTTGGAAAGCAATCCTGCGACTGAGACCGGTGGCAGCCCAGTTTCTGAAAGTTGTTGTTGGAAATGGGAGCAGTGCTAGTTTATGGTTTGACAATTGGTCTCCTTTTGGACCTCTAATAAAATACATTGGTGCAGATGGTCCTCGACAACTTCGTATTCCCCTCAAAGCTAAGGTAAAGGATGCGTGTAACTCTGCGGGCTGGACTCTTCCTTCTCCAAGGTCTGATGTGGAGTTAAATTTGCATGCACATTTAACAACAATTGAGGTTCCAAGCAGTTCTGCAAATCAAGATGAGTTCTGTTGGGTTGTTGACAAGGTAAAATGTAATGGTTTCTCTTCTTCACAGTCTTGGAATGTTTTAAGGCCACGAAAAGAGGAAACTAATTGGCATGATGTTGTGTGGTTCAAAGGATCTATTCCCAAACATGCTTTCAACATGTGGGTCTCTCACCTTAACAGATTGCCCACAAAGAAGCGTCTGTTCTCTTGGGGTATTATTCCTTCTCCGAATTGCAGTTTTTGTGCTGCAGACATTGAATCTAGAGACCATCTGTTCCTAATCTGCGCCTTCTCTCAAGCTATTTGGCGACTGGTTTTCTTAAAACTTGACCCTAACAGGTCGTTGCTCCTTTCGTGGTCTGAACTTCTTTCTTGGGTAAGAGCCGGTTCGCAAGCTGCACCGATTCTTCTAAGGAAAATCATTGTCCAAGCAACCATTTACCACATCTGGAAGCAACGCAATAATCTCGTCCACAATCAACAAGCAATCTCACCTCCAGCTATCTTCTTGCTTCTTGACAAGGACATTCGCAACATCATCTCTGCAAGACGCCATAGGAAGCCTTTTTACAATCTGATGCAGTGTTGGTTATCTTGATCTCACGTCTGTGATTTCCCCAAATTGTCTCCTTGTTTTTATTCTTTTTGCCAAGGTTTCAATATTCTCAGGCTCTACTCTTTGTAACAGTCAAACGTTTTCATATTTTATGATATTAACATGTTTAGCAAAAAAAAAAAAAAAAAAATATGAAACTTTTAATATCAACAAAAAAAATCTTGAACCATTTAACTAAAGAAAAATGCCTAGAGTACCTGACTTCTAATAAATTGTTTCAGTAATATATTTAATTTTCTCCGTTTCAATAAAAAAATTTGATATTTTAACTGCTCCACAGAAAACACTATTATGCTATTTAAATAACTTTAAAAATTAAATGAAATAATACCAAAATTTACGTTAATATCATAAAATGACACTTAGTTAGACAAAAAACACACATAAATTAAAACGGAAGGAATATTTGTTTTTCGAAAGAAAACTATGAGCTAAACCAAATAACTCTAGCTAATTTTTTATACTAATCATCCAATCCAAACTATATTTTGAAACTGAGTCCAAACTGGCTCGAACATACTAAAGTATTATAACTTTATAAGTAAATGACTATAAATGTTATTTAATAATTGAATCGCCATAATTATACAAGGATGTTATATGTAAAACTATCATATAAATTTGTATAAAAAGTTGAAAACTTTTATCTTAGTGGAACAAATAGTAGAATCTAAAACATCCATTATAACGATCACCACTAATATTAAAAAAATACTTTTTTGTTAATTAGAAATTTTTAGTTTTCTTATGTAAACATTCATCTTCCAAATTGGACAATCAAACAAAATAGTTGTTTCCTAATTAATGTATAGTTGAAATTTTTTTTAGGAAATTCTAGTTTGTTAGATTTTAATTTCTTTATGACACTATTTTGATTGTAGGAGTTAAATGATTTGAATTGGAATGCTTTGATGATTTTTTACTTCTAGATAATCGCGATCAAGCAAAATTATTTTTTAACATCAAAATTTAAATGTGATGTAGTTTTTACTACTGTTCTCCATGTGTTACCATCCAAATTCATCAATGTGATTATGTATGTTGTTGACAAAAAAAATCTAGTTCTTAGGAAACTCTTGCAAAAATAATAATTTAATAGTCAAAAATTCAAAATCCAGATGTGTTAAACAAATGGTTAGTATTAGTGTATCACCATTATCAATTCATCATCACCATTCTCACACATGTTTCAGCAATATAACAAATTGTAACTTTTGACTCGTTAATCATGTCAAATCCGCACGCTCAGAGCAACATTAGCAACGACTTCTTGTGCAATCATTAGTAATACTAGTTTATTATCATCAGACTTTATATTTTATTTTCGGAAATTTAAGCCATATTTACTAGGTGTAATATATAATTTTCTAGTATATTGGGACTTCCATCGTCCCGATTTTCACTAACATCGGCTGACAATATCAGTAGCAATATTACTTCCACTACAAGTTTTTTTTTTTCTTTC